AAAAAAAAAAAAAAATTTATCGTTTATTTTATTTGATTTCTAAAGAATTTACTCTGTTCACAGGTGCAAAATTGCTCATGTTGATGCACTTATTATCTCATTTTACACATCAATTTTCCTAGGGAACATGAAAAATGAGAGAATCAAGATGCGGATTAAACTCTTTACTCGCTCGTCAACGTCCGTTTTTTCCTTTGATTGCTTCAACTCTGATGAGACGGCGGGAAGGTGGCTTGAACGCTTCACTCCTTCGGCTTTCTCAGCCAGTTTCTACGGCCGAGACTGGCGACGCTCATCGAACTGGCAGTGCTGGTGACGCTCGCCAACGAGTTCAGGCTTACCGAATGTTAATCCTGTAGCATGTGGACGAAACTAATCGGAAACATGCCCCGCCGCTCCGGCGCCCGTTCTAACGCGCCCTCCATCCAGTTGTCATCGTCGGTCTGCTCGTTCGTTACGATGATGACCTCACCCTCGCGGAACGACAGCTCGTCCTCGTTGTCGGCCTCGCAATCGTACAGGGCCCGGCAGCGTCGCAGGCCACTCAAAGTCGACGACGTTGGCTAGAGACGGAATGAAAAAGTTATTCGCGGAAGCGAACAAATACCGTAATGTGCATGTTTCGACCGTATGGCAGAAGCAAGCACCTCTATTGCTCGTCTATCTTTGTCACGAGACGACAAGCTTAATTCTGGAGAATGTTTGTTCTCCAGAAGTTGAGAGAACATTGGAAATTCTAGAGGAATTATTACAAATTCAGCGAGTGGTGTAAGATCGATTAATTAATGATTTCTTTCACTTCTTAACTGATATTATTAATTTCTTTACAAAATCAAAAGAAAAAAGGAAGAAATTAACTGATATTATCGTGAAAATAGATTATAACAAGCATACGTATATCCAAGAAAAATTCAATTTTATTCAAGTATGAGTATAAAGAAATTTTAAGAGTATAATATAATTTTAATATTCTTCCGTAAAGTATGTGCTATAAAGTATGCTGGAACTAGAATTTCCAATATAAAACACCGACATCATGCTAGTTATACGTCTTTTAATATTCAAATAGCTTAGGGTAAGAACATTTTAAAGAGGAAATATCTCACGTGTCGGAAGAAGTAGCGAATAATGCGATCAAGTATTGCCAAACATAAATCCACTCGGGGAAATCCATGCGGGGATCAATATTTACAATTACACTTTATATCAAACGGTTTCTAAAGTATTAGCTATACATTAATAAGAGTGATTCATTGGAAGAATATAGTTTTTTTCATTGAAGAAATCACATTAATGATTCAGATAGGATTAATAATCGAGAGATGTAGATGTTGCAATGTCTCGCAGTGAAAAGACTGATTATGATCTTGCGGAAGATTTATATTATTACGATCGAGTATCTCAACCGACAGAAAGCGTGATTAAAATGGCAATGAAATGGCTAAATGATTATTTGGCATACGTGGAAATATATTTAAAGCCACGACTTGAGCTCCATAAATGATGATACGAACAGCACGTCTGATCATGCAAAGCATTGTTACACTTGAAAGTATCGAAATAAGTGAAGATAGAGAAGAATATAGGCACCTAGCAATTAGATTTATTATTAATCATTGCGACATGATATATGGTACGATTGCAATCTTTCTCTTCGAAAGATGATGTTCTTCTATTGTACACATAGTACAATATTAATTAATCAATCAGCATATATACAGATATCATGCTTTGTATTATGATTAATAAAACACGTGAAAACTATCCTTATGTAGATATGCATAAAACAGTATGCTCGTTTACAAGTGGTTTCAAGTGTAACATGCTGTAATGTGGGATGGGCTGATGTTTACCAGATTCAGATTTGGGAGCAAAGATGAAGGCTCTTCGGCGTAGCTCTCTAGCCTGGACCGGTCCCTTCGCTGTACCAACAATGGTTAATGACAAACCATAAAGCACTGATCTTGAAACGCATGCATTCTCTACAATATCCACACACCACGTAGGTACACGCGGTTATATATATTTATCTCGAACTGGATCGTAGCAAAGTAGCTGCTATTTAATTCGCGATAAATCGATGAATATTCTGCGGTTATTCCCGAGATTTTTCCCCATTGAATGATTTTTATCTCGACAAACGTATAATTTCTCTTTTAAGATATAATAGAAATTGATTCAATCATTAAAAACATTAGAGCTTTCGACATTTATCTTTAGGACATTATTTTTCAAAAAATTTGTTAAAAATGTGATTATTTATTATGGTGTAAAATGACAATGAAACGAAATGGCTGGAATAATATAATGACATTTTATAATGTACTATTATACTGACAATTAATAGATAAGAATTAAATGTACGACAATAATATATATCTTGGTGTTACACACGATAATATGATGAAAATGTGAAGGGGTACAAAATATGTCAATGTGCATGACGATATGGTTAGTATAATGCAAAATGCTCAAGCCCGCACGAATGAATCGAATGAAAACTATACTACGAGGGAGAACATAATGACACAACCTGGTTAGTTACACCTTTTCCTCTACTGTGTTAGTATAACAACGGCAACCATTCGAATGTATGTGTGTGTGCAAATAAATAAGATGTGAAACAGTAGGATAATCGTTGACGTCACTCGTTAGGCAATACAGAGATGATATAATATCAATGTCAACATATAATCATGTCGATAGTAATTCCGTTTGAAGTTTCGTTCTAAACTGGACGATGATTTAGGACTTAGGATTTTTTTTATGAGCGAGGGCTTTGCAAATTCGAGAGCTTTCGAGAGCTTAAATATTTTTATGAATCGTATGGAAATTAATGTTTTTTAAAATCGTAGTTTTGTCAAAATATTGCATTTGTTGAGACTTTTTATTTATTGTTATATTTGAAATTCTCTTCTATAAGATGATATTTAGCAAAATGTTGCAGTTATTAAAATTAATTTTCTAGGATTTCGTTTTCATCAAAATTCATTTAATAAAAATAAAATCCTAGAAAATGATAATATCTTGCATTTGCTGAAGTATTATAATTTATTAAAAAATTATACATTTCTATAATTTCTCGAACACATAAACGAAGATCAACATGTAAAGCACTCGCCTTAACTCGAATCTCCTTTCAGTTTGTGTAGTTCATTCTTATAACAGCCCTAAATAAATTTCTACCCAAAACTTCATCAGCTCTAGAATCTCCAATAAAGTAAGACGCTTGTATTATAAATATAGGAAAGACAACTATATTTTCAAAGAAAGAATTTATCCTAGATATATAAAAACAATATCCTCTTCAATCCCCTACGAAATCTCAAATTTCCTATTGAATCGTTAATTTAAATATAGCTTACCTTTCGCGGCGGCGGAATAGGATTGCCCAGACCGTGATCGGAACACATAGAACTCAGAGACTCGCTGCTGCGTCCGTTGCTTAGCCTAGTCGTGACGTTGGATGGAGCCGGAGGCGGTGGATTTCGCGGTCTCTGCAGCGTCGAGCTGTTCGACTTGTCCATACCTGTATATAGAAAGAGAGAGAGAGAGATGTAAGTGTCGATACGATAATCAAAACGTCGGAGTTTCTCCTGCGAGATTTATTTATCGAATATACCGTGTCCGGTCGACGAGTCGCCGCTCGGTGATCTCTTATGATGTTGGCTATTTAGTGTATTCAACGTATGCGGTAGAGTGTGTAAAGTGTGGCCGGCTAAAATCGGCTCGCTGGTCGTACGACTGTGCGTCGACGTAGCCAACGTGGCCGACGAAGGTAGCGTACCGTAGTGCGACGACGGCAGGCCGCTCGTGATGGAGTTCCCACCGGGCGGCGGCGGTGGCGCGACCCGCTTCTTCAGCGAGCCGTGGATGTTTATTGAAATGTCCGGCGCCATGGGGGTGGGCACTGCGCGGAAGGAGTCGCATAATCAAGATACCAGACAAGAAATACGAAAGGATTATGGAAAGTGAGTTATTTCGATCAGCACACTTGGGTAGATTTATCGTGCAGTACGAGAGGTGTATGAAGTGCGAGTCCAGCTTACCAGCTACGGGTTTCCTTGCCTGCGGCGGTGGCGGCGGAGGCATTTGCTGACGGTTCGTCGAGGCGCTCGGAGAGGATCCGCTCTGCAGGCTGTCGCAGGTGCTGCTCCGACTGCGCAGTGTTACCGGCGAGTCGCCCGTACCGCCACCTCCGGCATACGACGGTGGTCTGCTACGTGACTTTTTCTCAGGCGTCAGACATCCATTCTACGAGAAAATGCACATTCGTGAATATGAATGTAAATAGTTACATACATAAATCTGCGGAATATTGTTGCGTATTTATGTTAATATACTCACTCTGTCTTCTATTATCGTTTCGTCGTCGGAGAAATCCGTGGAGCCCTCATCGTGAGAAAGATTCCAATCAATATTGACGTTATCAAATAATGTTTTCTGCCTCTGGAGAGCGTGACTGAGCTGAAAGTAATTCGTCGACATTTTTTATGCGACTCTTGAAAGTGTAAAGAATTGTTTTAATCATCTTTGATTAACAAAGATTATAGAAGATGATAAACTCACATCAAAGATTAATGTTGAGTGATAATGAAAAAAATATATGTTTATTGGAGAAACTGATACAAGGAAAGGATACGAAATAACAAGAAGAAATGTATTATATGAGATATGATTTGTTGAATTACCAGTTCTTTACACGTATGGTGACCCATTTCCTGTGCGATATCCAGCGGTGTCTTATCCTGCTTATTTCGCTGCGAGGGATCCGCGCCAGCTCGTAGAAGCAGTTTCATCGCTTCCGCTCTGTCGTGCCGCGCCGAAAGATGCAGCGCCGTTTCACCGTCGATGGTCGCCCTGTCGATACCGCCGCTCGGCATATTTTGCACCAGGAAGTCCACGATGTGCAAACTGCTGCCCATCTCGCGCAGAATGGCCAAGTGTAGCGCGGTTTCGCCTACGTCCTGAAATAGACATTGGTTTCCCGGAATCTTATTATATCAACATAATTGTGAGAGAGTATTTCTCATAATTATCTTCGCGAATGTGAGAGAGAGAGAGAGAGAGAGAGAGAGCTCCGTAAAAAAAACCCGTAAAGGCGCTATGATGCCTTACCGATGTCGGCAACGGCGCGGCCAGATCCACGTTCTCGGCGTAAACCTGCAGAAGTTGCTGCAGGTCGCGGTTATTAACGGCGTGCTCCAAATCGGAAAGTAGATCACGCTCGTCCGCGCACGTGTTCATCACGTATCTCTTGTCCACGTACTTGGCGCGTATGAATTCGTATCTTTCCTCCCTAAAATACCAGGAAATGTGCATGTGAAAACGCTAAGGCAAGGTGAAAGTATGAGAGTACGCGGAAGAATTGTTAGAAAAACAAAACCGCAAGTTCGCTCACATCGTCGACGTCGGCGACGGCTTGAGATTGTGACGCAACGTTGCCTCCATGACCTCGTTGAACGCCTGATTCGTCATGTGTCGCGCGAGCAACAGCTGAGCGGTACCGACGTTATCCAGCGTCAGGGATTGTATTCGCGATATATGCACGCCCAGGTCTCGGTGGATGCCGCTGCACTCTATGCACACTATTATGCCGAAGTTCGTCGACAGCCACGTGGCATCTGAAAGGGAGATACAATTGTCGTCGTTCGATAACAAAACTAGAGCGCGAGCGAAGTTGCCATTTCGTCTGGCTTTGTCACGCGGAAACCGTCTGCGACAATGCCCGGCCAGCGAACCGGTAGATATTCACGTGCCACTTGATGACATAAACGTGCTTTCGCTTCATAAACCTTTCGCAAATTTCAAGATCTACGTTTAATTTAATAAAGACTTTATTAATTTAATAAGAAATAAATTATCGTACGTTGCTATATATAATGATGAAAGTAAGAAGTGCCTAATAATTAGGAATTTCCATTATAAAGAGAAATTAGTTAATATAAATAAGTCGATTTTCTCTCGCGTAATTTGACGGAAAAATCGTTTTAGTCATGCGCTAAGTATAACAGACGGACTTGGCACGCGTCGGAGAAAGACCGGCCGGCTACTAAATGATCCGCAATATTCTGCGTTACCGTTCTGCGAGGAGCAATCACAGCACTGATCGTTTCCGGGTAATCGCATAACGCATCGTATAACAGCCTGCTGCAGCTCTACGAGGCTGGGATTGCCGCTGCCGGCCTCCGCCTTGCCGCTCGCGTCGAACGCCCGCAACAGGGCGCGCTCCTTGCAATTCACGAGAACCGACATCCACGCGCGCTGGTCCGCCTCGTCCTCCGCTTGAAAGTGGTACGTCCTATTGTCTGAAATCGAAACAATGACAGTATTGCGCGGCGTACGTTTCACATTGTGAAGAAACGGCGGGCGGCGCGTCTCTTGGAAGCTCGCTCGTATATCATCAGCGTAACACTTACAGCTTATGAGATCGAAGCCTCGCTTGTCGTCCGGCACTAACTTAATCTGGCAGGTCAATAGGTTCACCCTGGTGGGCGGCTTGTTCTCGTCCGCGTGGCAGATATCGAGGTAGCCCTCCGCCTGCACGGCGCATCGCCTCTTCTGCCAGACCCGCCTCATCTTGCCCTCGCTCTTCTTCAGCAGGTGGCCGGAGCGCGTAACGCCGTGCTGCTTGTCGCCCTGCAGCTGGTGCAGCGAATAACCCGCGTTCGCGTTCGCGTTCAGCTGCGAACCGCGCAAGATTTATAGCTTAAGATTTATGCATGATGTCGCTTAAAATTTATGTGCATTATAAAGTGCGATATTAAGCGAAGTGACTAAATAAGATAATCCGAAAGTTGATGAGGTTCTTAAGTACAAGACGGCGGAGCTAAATCTAAGATAAAAATATTAGTAAAGTTTTAGTATTTAATTTTATGTTAAGTAGGCTAATATGAATAAGATGATATTTAAATAGAGAAACGTGATATCATGTACCGTCAATATCAAACGAAAACGAAGAAGCAACAGTACGGTATAAGTGCCAATTAAAGACTATTATTAGGTCTACTCTCATCGCGCTTTTCATGACGAATTAATCTTGGAGAAAAAAAATCTACGTAGCTCTCGTCGATAATCTTACCTCTTTGTCACATCCTGAGCTTCTAAGAAGACTCCTAAGTTCCGTTAGTCGTCTTCGTTCCTCATCCTGCGTCTGTCTGATTTTTTGCAACTTCACGCTCAAGTCGGCCACGTAAGAGCCGAAGTGCTCGATGGTCTTCAGGCCGTCCTGAAAGTAACTAAAAATCCCGAACGTATAAGAACGCTAGAAAATCGAATTGGCCACTTCGAGCGCTCTTCAGCTCCCCATTATGCCCCATTATAGATTAGAGGTTCCAGAGAGATAAATATTTACTCTGATAACTTAAGATCAATTTGATAATGAATTTGCGATGCGAGTAACAATATCGATCGAAGGATTATAACTGCGTTATACTTACTTTGTTTGCGCGTGATAATATTCGACTAGATGCTGCAACAGCTCGATACCCTTCTTCGTTTTGATCTCGTTCACTTTGATCAGATACTGTAAGCAAACACAGACAGCAATGATCGGCAGCTTTGCCTTCTCTACCTCGCTTTGCTCAAATATGTTTTTATCGAGCGTATCATAAAAGCGATTCGCAAATACGGGGTGTGCGGGAACTATCGCCACTCCTTTAATCTATGGATCTTCCTAAGGAGTTAGATTGGACTCCACCCATTTTTAGCGAGCAAATTTTAGCTTTGAGCACTCTACTGAGTCTCAAATTACAGCCCACTTCATTTAGACAATTATTTTTTTATTTAGTTTAATTTGATTAAAATTTTTAATCTCGCATAACTTAAAATGATACTAAATATTTTAATTAAGAAAGAGAGAGAGAGAGAAATAATGAAAAACATAGAGTTAAATTAAATAAAATTATTATATTTATTAGATTTTATTAAATAAATTTAATAAAATTTCATATTTTCCACATTATATATTATTCATACTAGATTTTTATCATATTATTTTAATCTCTCTTTCAAGATCGAATGCAGTTCTCGGACACCTTGTATATCGATTGTCAAATGCAAAATGTAAACCGCGAAAATAGTAGGCCGCGGAATGTAAAATGCAAATGAAGTTCTCGAGTTAGAAGGTGTAACATTTTTCCGCCGACGCACGACAGTATCTAAACGACCGGATATCGATGCACGCGCGCCGATAACATGCATCGATAACATCCATACGCCTCTCGTTGGCGTGATGTTAAACCGTTTATACTTCATAGCTCGGATCTACATCACCCACCTCGCACATTTGCAACTGAAACAACCGTCTCTCCTTCTCCATCTCGTCTGCAATCTCGGCGGGCGTGACTTCCGTACGAATCAGACCGGCTTCCTTCGCATGCTGCTTCTTCTCCTTTTCGATCTTCGCGTACTTAGCCTCATAGTCCTTCCAGGCTTTCTCGAAGGGCCTCTTCAGGTCCCCCTTCACGCCCCTCAGGTCACCCTTCAGCACCGAATCCAACGGGAACATCACGATGTTGTTGATGTTTTGCATCTGGAATTACAAAATCAATTGTGCTAACAAATATTTTTTTCTTAATTAATTAACACATTAAGTAACAATTAATTAAGTAACACATTAAGGCTAACTATAGATTTCTAAGTCGTAAAAAATTTTAAAGATATATTTTAAAGAGGTATGAAGAAAAACATTTTAATAAAAGAACCGTTTCCGTAAATTTATTACAATATAGAAATTACAAAAAAAAAACATTTGCCTAAATATTTAAATGAGAATTCTATACTTTTGCAATAATAATCAAAATGTATTCAATTTTCTGCCGCACAGCATCCCCGATTCAACAACAGCCAACATCTCGATAAAAATATCGATGGCATACATGCCTCGGTATCTATTAGATACACAGACGTGAAAATGTTAGCTTCCCTTATCTCCGCGGTACAGCACGAGTTATTTCAGATTGACCGAAGCGCAATATTTTATCTATTTATCAGAATAACCGGTCTGACAGGACTCGAATGGAAAAACGGGCGATGAAAAATGCGAGCCTTCGGGACTCCGTGGCCGGGATCGACCACCGGCCTGGCTCGACTATCCGACCGTTAAATAGTGAATCACCGTCGATTCGCGTCAGCACTTTGCTTAGCCCGTCTCGTCGCCTCGCTCGCCCTGAATAGAATCGCGGCTTCCTCTCGGAGCCGTGGGCTCTCTCGAGGGTGATCCCTCGGACCGCTTCACGACTCTCGGCTCTCGTGGAAACTCGGCTGGAAAGCGCTCAAACGCGCCGCATAATGCGCCTGCGAGGGCAATGTGCAACCAACTCGTAAAGACGACACTCTTTCGCGAGAAAGAGAATCGCGAACTGGAAATAGCAAACTGCATTACGCTTTATTTATTGGACGAAGTTGGAAGACGAGGTCGGAGTTCGGAATGTAATAACGGAATCTCGTTTAATTAATTTTAATTGTTCCCCGTTCAAATTTGCTTATCTGATCTCCATTAGCGGAGATTTATATTATCTTATAAGATCAGGTGAATTAACAATGACCGAGTTTGATTAATGTTTAATTACGTATTTGTTCGTTATAAATGTCGTTATCGTGCAATTAAAAATATATTAATTTTTGTTTTCTTATTTTCGCTCTTGAGAGAACGGGAGGAAGATACAGCGACGATCTTTGCAAATACTTGACACAGTATAAATAGTTGCAGTCTGATAAATTCCATCCTGCCTGCTTTTACAAAAAATTTTCGAGCGATTATTTCCTCACAAACGTCAAGCTTTCAACATTAAAATAACAGTAAATTTCATACATGCTCTAAAATTATCTCGAATCGTGAACGGTAAGGAAAAATTATTACCGATCCCAATTACGGTTAATCGATCGGATATGCTAATCTCGCGTTTGATTCGGATACGATCGAGTAGGTTCTTATAGGTTCGAGCATCGTGCGGATATTGCTTCCGGCTCTCGCCGGAATGCATCGCGCGATTTGAATCGGAGCCAATATTGGATGCAGATATACATTTTAACCACGATTGCACGTGTGACGTCATCGTAAACGGATCGGACGTAATGGCTCGGAGCGGGGAAATGGACGCGGCGGCAAACAAGAGAGGAAAAAAAACAAAATAATAAAAGTCGCGCTTAAACGCCGGAATTTAAATTCAATCCGCGATCGCGTGCCCGCGCGATACGATATCGGGAAGAGCCACGACGGAGAGGAGCCGCGCTGAAATCGCGACCGACCGCGGATCCGCGAGTGCACGGCGCGCGTTTAAAAGCTCCCGATAAATATAAATTCGCGCGGTCGTTCGTGCGTGATAGAATCTAGGAGAGCCTGTCCTAGCCGCTCGCTCTCGTGGCATTATAACGTTCGTGCACGCTTCAGTAAACGTAATTATCCCGCCGCGCCGCGCCGCGCCGCCGGTGAGACGTCCCGATTTGTGCCGCGCAGGCTAATCGCACAGCGCGCGAGCTTCGGAAAACTGTCGGAACACAGGCAGAACCAGTCCGATTCCGCAACTAAATCCACGCCCGGACGATTACATCCTATCCCGCCTCTCTTACTTTTGGTCGATTTATTGCTACTTGGAGGATATACTTTGCGCAGGGGGACATTCACATCCATTCGCGCCTCTTATCTCACGATATCAATTCCTCAGAATTCGATGAGGCATCAATCGAATGGTTCTAATTGACGCGTATTGTGGACCGAGCTCTCTGCGTGTATCAAATAAGCCCTCTTAAACGGAATCAGTGTGTTACGAGAAACGGTAGAGAATATAACGGCATTATTATAAGGACAGAATCCCATTGATTTCTTTCAGTGAGATCCCACTGAAAGAAATCAATTGATGACGAACAGTTTCAATGTTATTAGATTGTGGGAAACAGTGGCTCTAAATAATAAACTTAAGCGCGTAAAAAATGCAACATGTAATCCTATCTTATATAATATAAATGTAAAGTTGAATAGTATAAGTTGAATACGAGTTTTATTTGACAAAGTTTTCTCCCGAGAAACAGCAATCAAACATGTAGAAAGCTTTAAAAGCTACAACTTACAGATTTGTGCGATTACCACTGATTTTACAGCGAAATTTTACTTCCACTGATCGCGAAAAGATGAGAGAGTAGTGAGTGTTCGGATTGAAAATAAGTGAAATACTCATCTCTTCAGTGAAATCTGTGTTACTTATTTTCAACAAAATTTTCACCGTTATGGTTTAAGAGAGTAATCAGAGGAATGTATTATGCTGCTTATTAGTACAATGTTTTTTTTTTCGTCTCTAATATACGCTTCTTCCGAATTCTTCTGCGCGAAGCTATTCTATTAACGTCGACTCACTACAAGTTTCTTAACTCGACGGAGTGACCTCAGAGTCTGAAGAAGAGAAAGACGTGAGATGTCACTGCAAAAAATTACGAGCGAGCGCAGAGGGTTTTCCTCGCAGAGCACAATCATCAACGCACAGTAATGGACGTGTATAGACGTCAGAAAAGTGAAAACATACGAGCGTGACGAGGAGACTTTTAGCATCTTCTACGAAGTGGACGACATAATGGATTGAGTAGTGCGAATAAAAAACGCGTAGTAATAACACTTCTTGCGTGACAATTGCAGCTTTTATTTTCAATTAAAGAAGAGCGAATTAAGAGATGAGTTCGCTATATCTAAATAAATAAAAAAAAGAGAGAGAGACGCGAGAGTGTTAATCTTGCTGTATAGGATGTGTGTATGTAATAACAGCAATAGCGGTAACTCGCAGAGCGCGAAATGGTTTCTTCATGATTTGTTTCGCAGTGGTACTTGTGCGTACTCCGCTATGCAATCTCGATGTAAATCGCACGTTGCAAGTATATAGCGATAAGCATGGGGCACTCGAGATCCTCTGAAAGTTCTCAAACAATTCGATCACATAAAGATTCGAATTGCTTTGGATGTTATTCGAAACCAGAGATTCTTGAATAATATTTGAAACAAGATGTCCTTCGCACATTTAGGTTAATTATCGTTAATTACTAGATAACAGGCAAATCTATAGCGAGATAAAAATTCAAACGTTCGACGGCGCTGAAAGTTACTTGGGCCGTTGAAACGAAGATTGAGCGTGTAGAGAGTCGAGAGTCGAGAGTCTATCTTCGCACGAATTTACATTCATCGTGTATTCATCATTCATCGTGACCCAGATACCCGATACGCGTTACGCTATTCAGTCGCGGTTCAAAGGTGTCATTCCGACGACGACAGAGAATTTTTCCAGCGGAACAATTCGCTTCTCTGGTGGGACGAGTGAGTCTGCTACATATATATCCTTGACTTGTGAGAAAACGCGGTCGCCCGCCGCGCGCTCTTCCTCGAGCGCGCGATCGGTCGCTAACTCGCGAAAGTCTCGCGCGCGCGCGCGCGCGCGATCGACAGTCTCCGCAGCCCGCGGGCGCGAAATTTTGTTTCGTCGCGCACGCCGGTGCACGCGTTTCACATCGATCGTTTCTGGCTTAGAAATTCTATTCTTGCACGTACGCTAACGGGAAGAATGTACTACGACAGGCTTGCGCGTAGGTCGTTGCCACCGGTGACGATGGACCGTGGAGAGATTTTTCCAATAGCGCGTGCACGGCGCATCGAGGACGCGTTTAACGGCCTGCCGTTTTTTAATACATCCGCCGTCGATGAATTGTAAAAGTTAAGACACGCATCATCGGTGAAGGTACCGACAGCGCATACGCTTGCGATTTTAAAGAACTTATCTTTGAATATTGCGCTCTAGCGTGTCATTTGTTAGAAGTTCCTATTTTTTTTTATCACGCCAACGGTGCAGTTACTTAACTGCATTACGCTGTCGATACTTTCCTCTTAAGCCAAGCCCCTTTCAAGTTTATTAATTAAAAGCTCAGAATGTATTCAACATCACGTAAAACACGTGATTAAGAGCGAAACAAGGGGCGGAATATTCCGTGCGTCGCGGGGAATCAACGGGAATGAAAAGGCGCGGAATATTCCGTGATTCGCTGCATATGTGTTACGTTGACACAATTCCGCCTGTAGGATTTTGCACGTACCAGGGTTTTCATGAGGGCACTCAGTTCTTTCGTGACCACCGCGAATTTCAGAAACGCCGCGCCTATGTCCGGTTCCTGTTCCTTCAGTGCGGCATCGCCGAGTCTCTCCAACGCTCTTCCTAAGTACACCTCGTTGTCCACATGAGCTGCAAAAAAAAAAACGTATACGGTCCCATTAATTTTAATATAACATATAGATAACGTTACGACTATCGTGAAAAAAATATCTTTATATCAATCGTGTTTGCTTATATTTTTAAAAACACGTGTTTCAAACGTCAACGTTCGTCTTGTAGCAAAATAGTAGAGAATACCCCATAACAGATACCGTAAATCTAAAATTCTGCAAATTTAAAAAAAAGATCGTAATCGTTTCCCCGCATTTCCGCGAGACGGACAAATTTCCCTTCTGCACGCGTAACTATATCACATTATTTATTGAAGCGCGCGCGACGCCGTTCTCCACTTGGTCTCGCGCGATAAATTTCCTGCGCGGACATCGCGCGAATATTAATTCAGCGGCAAACATTCGTTACGAACGACTGCCATTAAGCTGCCGCGCTGTTAGACTATTAAACGCCTGCGATTGCAATTAATTCCTTGGTCAGCACTTTTTTTCCACAGGAACCGCGAGCGTCCCGCGCTGCGTATATATCTCCGCAGGCGGCTGCGAAAGAGAGAGAGAGAGAGAGAGAGACGGAGAGGAGCGAGAGAAAGAGGGACGAGTAATTTAAATCCTTCCTACCGTAAGACATTACATACTGCGCGGATTCCTGCACATTTCCCGCTTGCATACGCCTCGAATTACGAAGCACAGCCTTGGCAAGGCTGCGGGCCACACACTAACGCGGGAATGCATTCTCTGTGCGATAAACGCCGCGATCTCTCGTTCGCGTTCCGCGAGACGCCGAGACGGTTCCTCTTTCTTCCCTCTCCTCCTCTCTTGCGCTTCCTGAATCTCCCGGCTGCGATCTCGAGACGCAGGAAAACCCACTTTCCAATTAATATACACATATTCCAATGATCCCTCTCTTCTTTCTGCTCCTTTCCCGTCTCGGCTGCTCGCTCTTCTTGCCTTTCCTCTTTCCCGCAAAGTTTCTCGACCGATATCGGCTCGCGCGCCGCATGTATAAGTACACGACCGAGAGCGTGGAATCTCGCTCGACCGCGAGGCGAAGTGAAAATAAAAACGTTTCGCGTCCGGTTCGAAAGAGAATGGCTTCCGTTTTTTTTTTCCTTCAACCGGGATATCGTTTATAGTTTTATCGGAGACTTGCGCACTCACGAGTTAACGACACTCTACGGGTGTAAAGTTTTACTTTGCAGTAAAATAATTTCTCACTTTTATCCTTGTAAATTAAACTCTAGTAGTTTTCTTATTTCCAACGAACGCACAGACCGCATAAAATAATCCAATTTTTTTGTAAGTATTCTACAATTCTCTGGTTTTATTTTATCAATTCCGACGTTCCTAAGACATCTTCTTTCAACGTATGTATATCTGCAATAAGAACAATCCAATGCTGCTATCGCCCGTTTTCAAAGTCGTCAAATCCTTTGTTCCGCTCGTGTCTCGATGCTTCAATTTCCCTTCCAACTTGTACCAAAACTTTCTTCCACTCAATATCCGACCGCGCTTTGCCCCCCCCCCCTCCCCCTCCGCCATTGGAGACTGCAATCTGATTGACTCTGAGCAATGTCGAAAGGTGTTTATCGTTCGACCGAAGGGAGCGCATCCTTTCTCTCCCGATAGAAATTTCATTAGAGAGTCGAGAGAAACTTCTCAACAGGATGCACCAAAGGGCGAGTGGGAGAGAGGGAATAAAAGGTATACTGTCCCCTGTGTCGCGAAGTGATGTTCAATTCACCCGCGGCTGCGATGCGACGAGTATAATAGTGGTACGTTCAGAGCAGAGTGGATGAGCCGGCGGGAATACGTTCGCCTCCGGTTGATGAAACTTTCAATTACCTACATTACATGGCAAAAAGGATACCCTTTCATCGAAAGCGCCACGGAAGCGCTATGTCGCGTCTGTTTTAAAATCCCACGTGAAATGTATATATAGTTACGGGGGCATCAATATAGATACATGCCTATACCAGTCCGGTCATTAAACTGGCGAGTCTACACGACGCGTGTGTGAAGTTAACACCCCAACGATAAAATTCCATAGTTCTGAGTTTTAGAGTTTCCGCTTCACATTTTGAAGAGACGATAAGTTCTCTAAGTTTATAACAAGGATTCTAAGCAATTTTTAATTTAAATATAAAAAATAGGGTGCTGACTTTTTATATAAACTTTTTTTATAAAAATTCATAAATTAAAAATTATTATTAAGTAGAACTCTTGTTATAAACTATACGGAACTCTTCGTCTCTTCAAAATGAAGTGGGAGCTCTAATCAGAGCTATGGAATTTTAATGTTGGGATACTAACTTCACACAGCACCCTAACATTAAAATTCCATAGTTCTGATTAGAGTTCCCGCTTTATTTTGAAAGGATGAAGAGTTCTCTATAGTTCATAACAAGGGTTCTAAACAATTTTTAATTTAAATGTAAAAAACAGGATGCTCAGTACTTCTTATAAAAATTCATAAATTAAAAATTGTTATTAAGTAAAACTTTTGTTATAAACTATAGAAAACTCTTCGTATCTTCAAAATGAAGCGGGAACTCTAATCAGAGCTATGGAATTTTATTGTTGGGGTGCTAACTTCACACAAGCCTACACACAACGGAATCTATACAACGATGAAAAACTAAAAGCTCCTTGTCCGTGCCAAACGCGGTAGAGTGTATCTCTTCGCGTCATTACGATTCTATATAAATCAAACTTCCGATTGCGCATTTCAACGTTTCTCCCCTACGGCATAAACGACCTCCCTGGCGCCGAGAGTCCATTCGCTTATTGTATACACGGAAAAAATGGTTTCGTTGAAGTATCTGAAAATTTAATATAGATCGAGAGATAATTATGCTGCTAAATAATTGCTGAATAATTATATTGGTAGCTGATTGCTGAAATGTCAAAACTTTTTGCAGCATTATGCCTGAACGATCTTACATAATTATTAATGTTGATGGTCCAACATAATTACTTTCAGATCTACATCTTAATTTTTATGTACTTCAGCAAAGCCTTCTCAGAGCGCACGAGAATAGTGTCCCATTCGAGTGAATTTATCAAAAAGGAGATAACATCGCGCGAAGATCTCTGACATCCACGCGCGCTCGTTAGAGTTTCCTCCATTCTTGTCTCTCTGTGAAATTTATCGGCGTCGCGCCCCATTGCTCTTCGCATCGTCGTCGTCGTCGTCGTCTCCGCTCGTCGCCGGGAAATTACGTGAAAGTCCTCGGAAACCACGCTGGATCCCACGCGGCCTAGCGACGGGACCGTAGTTTTTCACGGCTCCGGAAACGCTAATGCATTGCCACTGAATATTTCAATCGCGCGGCGACGCGCGAGCACGGTATTACCACGGATATATATCTGGAATTGCATCTTTCACGAGCGCGCATCAGCTCTGGGAGAAAAAGCAAGTATAAAATTGTGCATTGCAAGAGAGAGTTCTACATAAATACAATCACCAAGAATAGTTTTTCATCGAAAAAATATTTATAAGCAGCGTGTTTCTCTTATAATCACACAATTTAATTGAAATTTTTTATGGAAATTTATATATACGGAAAGAATAATTCTGCTAAAGTATCTATAAATTTAGTTACATAATTATTTTGATAATTCGATAAAATTATTTTCATCTGTATCTGCTAAATATTTAGATACTTCAGTAAACTATTTTTTTCTATATATATGTATATAATATGAAATGAAAGTTTTGTAGGAAAAGGTAGTTTTAGCAGTGAAAAAAAAATGTATATATATTTTTTTTTCACTGCCAAAAACTACCTGTTCCTACAGAACGATTGAGTACCAACATTCCCGCTGTCTGTTGTGTCGACGAAGCATTTCCGCTGGAAAGTTTCGAGAATATTGGAGCGCACGAGTGCTTTCGCGGGCCCATTGTCTCCAAGGGACAACACGCGCGTCACGGCATGCGATTCGCGCCCGGGGTACTCGGAGCGATACATCCTGTCTATCGTCAGGTAGCCAGAGACGCGGGAAAAAGAAACACAGAGAGAGAAAGAGAGAAGGTAATAGGTAGGAAAAAATCGTGGGTGAGAGGCGAAATCGGACATGCCGGAACGATATCGGGAGAAAAGTGGTCCATTGTGGCCCGAACGCGGAAATAATGTTGACCGGTCCGATACGGACGGAGTGGCGATTTTCAGGGGTCGATTGACGGGTGAAAAATGGCCCGAGAGATCGCCCAGACTCGTATAAAAAAATACAACGCACCGCGTGTGAACAAACGGCGGGCGTTTAATACATCGCATTTCGATCGCGTGGCGCGCGTGACAGCGATTCGTTGTTCTGTGATTATTATTCTTGGAAAGTGGTGCGAGTGACGTTTTCGATGTTTTGTTAATCCTGTGAAAATACCGCTAAGTAATTTATTTCCTTCGCTGAATGGAATTTTTTATTTTCGCCGGCATTGTTATTCGAAATTCTAGGCATCGAGAGAGAATTAAATTTTTTGTCAACGTTATTGACGTTTGCGTAAATAGGGCAATATTTAAAATTTAATATTTGTAATCTAAAAAAAAAAAATTAAGATAACGAGATAATCACACTGCAAATGACTACAATTTAAAAAAATCATTACATTTAATCTGAAAAAGATAAACGTGTAGTAATCATAAAAAATATAATTACATTGTGTGACCATTGTCCCTCTATTTGATACTAAAATGTATGTTTCCTTCCTTTTTCGATATTTTACAATTGAACCATATAATTTAGGATCACACGAAAGGATAAACATGGATTCATAAATTATTCATTATTGTACTTATTATACAATTGATTCATTTTCTTTCACGTTGACTGTAAGCGTTGCTATGCGATATTTTGTGATTTATTTTTAGAGGATCGTAATAAACGGTCTTAATAGAGATAAGCAACATGATATGAGGTAGATAAGGTGACAATTAGCGTAGAGCAGCAGATTTCCCACGATGACAAGCTAATGAAGCAGAACGGCGAAGACGAGAACCTTCGTGACGTGGGCGATGAAGAGGTTGCGGTAAAGAAAGGGTTACGCTGAGCACAAAGATAAACGAGCAGAATCAGTAAAGTGAAAGACAAGTTGTTTGTAAATCTGAAGAGATAATGGAATATTTTGAACAATTTAGAATTATTTTCACTATTTAATTTAGGATTAAATTAGCCATTACATTTTATGAAGCTTCTTGTAAATTATTATAAAATTCGATATTATTGAATATTAACTCCTTAAATAACTCTATTGAATAGAAAACAAGTATATTTTGATATACATATTTTCTTGTTTGCTGCTTTTGACAAAGACATTCGAGGATATTTTACGATACATGGCAAACTTATGCTTCTTATCTTTCCTGGAAAATCACTACTTTGTTATAGAAGGTGTCACACACGATGGCAAACTATAAAAATTATGTAAGTAATTAAGGATTAAATACTTACACGGAAAGAACAATTTTGCTGAATCCAGATCTGAAAATAATTTTTGTTCAATAATCAAAATAATTTTGTGCGAAAGTCAAAATGATTGCTAGAATATCAAAATTTATTTATAGCAATACTTATCAGTTTTAACACTCCAACAAATTATTTTGATGATTCAACAAAAAATTATTTTCAGATCTGATATTTAGCAAAATTTTTAGACCTTTTAACAAAATTGTTCTTTCCGTGTAGTACTATATTAAAATCATTCGTATGCGTATCACTGTTCTCAATAAGCGATATGATATCGTTCGTGTAATAACATCACATTACGTGCAATATGTAAATACTAATCTAATTAGATAAAAGAAACTTTTAAATAGCAACCAATCAAATAAACAGGCATGATAATTATCGTCTTTTTTTTTATCTGAAATATTTGGATAAAATATTACACGCGCGTGTCGTGCCGCGGCTCATTTAGAGAGTTATGACAGAAGTAGAAGTTCTCTCATCAGAAGACAGTTTTATAATGCTAGGCTCCCACGAGACGTCTTTCCCATTACGCGATATAATTACAGGGGCCGTCCGCGACTCCCGACAATTACAGCAGTGTCCCTATATACCACGTGGCAGCAAGGTCTTCAGCGGCGTTTCGCGACCCGAGGAGGAAGCAATTTCGCGCGACTACCTGCTCGTTGCGTCACGAAAGATCCGTAACTCAAAGTCCAATTCAGAAAGAACAACAACTCCGGCATGTTTGCTCAGGCTTGCCTCGCGCTGATGGGATAATATTTGCGAACGGGCGGTCCCGAATGAGCACCTCGCTGCAATCCGGGTACGGACAGATGCCACGTACGAGATGATCCGCGGAAGTACAACGTAAATTCGCGGTAGGACTTTTTTAAAGAGATTTCGAGGAAGGGGGAGAAGGTGGGGGGGAAGGGGGGAGAGATTCGCGTGAGGATTCGCGCTCGAGAACAGAAACCAGATAGGAACGGAAGACGCTCTGCCGTGGAAAGCGAAGGAGCGGCCTGCACACAACTTTCGCGGAATAATGCGAGCGTTATCGACCCGACGTTGAAAGGAAATGCCGCTTTAATCTCTCATTAGTCTCGCGGTTAACACGAGAACGCGGCCCGGCACGCGCTGACGTTTTATTCCTGCTATAGAAACACCCAAGTCGGTAATATCGCGCCATTTTCTGTCAATGCAAATCACATTTTTTTTCTGCGGCTTAATTAACACTAATTTTCTCTCGGTACGCGAGAAATTAAATTACGACTTTCTTCGTAAAGGACTTGAGACTGAGATATATATACATATATTAATATGGTTACATTTATATTTATGATTTTTAAGTCATAATTATATCTCGATGCGATGTAATATGTTACATCAGTTACGATAAAATATATTTATTATTATTTGGAACGCGTGTGCGAAGTGCGTGCTGCTCATTGCTATTCTTGTACTGAGACTGAGGATGACGCGAGATTATACAACCTACGGGTAACCCTTTCATAACTACGGAATTTATAAATAAGTACATGTATTGAATACACACGCGCGCGCGCCGGGAAACTAACGCGATGTGCACGATAAATGATAACATATTGAGCTCGTGACGATAAAGTCACGTAACTTCGGCGTACATATGTCCGCGCGCACGCGAGAGTTTATAAAACGGTTTGACACGCTGTGCAACATTTATTTGCTTCGACAAGCAGAAATATGTTAAAAAGTTTGCGCGAAGGAAAGAAAGCACAAGACGCGACATTCTCAACGTCAACATGATGAAAACGTCAATACTGCGAACTTGTTTGCAAGTTTTATCAGAAAATACGAATATTCCGTAAGTGACAATATTTTATTACACGCTCGGCGTATATCGTGCGGCGTGAAGGATAAACGATCGCAGTCTAATAACTACGTTCTTATGTTTGTTCGCGAGCGTTACAGCGCGCGATATATCGACGTTGACAGCGACACGTTTATTGATCAACCGCCCCGGTTCATAGACTCGTTCGCGGGCGCGAACAGTATAACGGCGGTCGTAAAGATGCCGATCGCAGACTCCGAGTCCAATGCGAGAGACATTCGGTATATGAGCCCCCGAGCTAGATCCTCTCTCCGCGGGATGGCCTGGTCGAGGAAACAAAGGGGGCGCCGGAGAAATCGATCTGTCTGCCCGATGGAGAAGTGGCGGAAAGCCGGCGGGCGGCGAGTCCGCGACCCGTAAAAGTCAGCGCACAGCTCAGGGTTTCTCAGCCCGCGTCTATATAAACCTTTTTAGGATGTTGAACCCGACGCGTCTTGCCCATTCGAGTGCAATAAAAATCCGCACCGACGCCCGTTAAATTAGAGCACGTATAGCATTACTATTTCCCAGTACAGGAACGGCCCGGAAGAACGTATAACGCGGCAAGTAAACGTAACCCGTTTGTACTTGAGACGCCGCCGCGTGTATTCCCATATTTCCCATAAACCCGAAGTTTCTCTGTCGCTCTTTCTTTTTTTTTCTTAATTGATTTATTGTTTAACTTTTATAAGCTATAATGCAAGACTGATTAAATTAAATGTCAAGATTTTTAAATAATATAAAAAGGTTTGTAGATATGTTGTGTACGCTTTTTAATGTGTTGAAACGTGCTTTTATAGTAGAACGCTCCTTCGGTCGGATTCTAATTTTATGCCGAAATCGAATATCTCCCGATCAAATTACTTAAATACTCTTACAATTAGTGTGCATAGAAAGATAAAGATTACACGCACACATATCGACTATTGATTCTTATCGCTTGTAGTAGTCGTTGCTGGCATGTTTAACATAACATTCGACCGCCATTATCAGTATTAATAACATTATACAATACGCATGAGTCTATAGCGTCCCGGTGTGATAAATTAAATGATCACGATCTATGCGGTAGAGTTTTGCCCTCCGTCGAGTCATCGGGGCAATCGGAGCTAACAATGCAGAGAATTTTGATGGGATATTTAAATGGGGCAGCTCATTTCCATTAAATTTCCATAAAACAAATAGAATAAAGGAAGACCGACAGAATCTTTATTAAATTAAGGAAGAGTAAAAAATCAAATTAAAATGAAAAAACTACTCTTAAAATTTAACAATAAAATTCGAATGTATTATACAGTAGGGCTGGTGATTTGTTTCGAAGGCTTTGACATTCGAACTTTGAAGCTTCGAAGATTCGAAGCTTCGGCATTAAAATCTTCGAATTCTTTCAAAGCTTCGAAGTTTAAGGTGCCTTCGAAGTTTCGAAGTTTCGAAAAATACATTTGTGCAAATGATAAATTTATTCAGAAAATTTACAAATATTGTAAATAAAAAGAATTAATATATATACGAAATTATTACTAAAAAAATTTGAAAGTATATTATAACCTGAAGTGTTACAAATTAATAATTAAACTAGATACATGTGTAAATAAAGAAAGATAATGATCAGTAAAACAATCTAATTAAGAAAATTCAAATTTTTAATGTATTTTTCAAAACTTCGAAATTTCGAAGCTTCGAATATTCGAAGTGAGCAAAAAGTAACAGCTCTATTATATAGAGCTGTGAGGTATCTAACTTGCACACCTCGAAAAACTTGTAAATTATAAGTTATACGAAAAATTGTTGTATACAAAAGTTGCATGACTTCGAGGGAGTCATTACATAGTATATAAATTTTTTTATAAACGGAGGCGTTTAAAAAATTTCAAAGTCAACTTTGTTTGTCGAAGTCATGCAACTTTTGTATGTATAACAATTTTTCGTACAACTTATAATTTACAAGTTTTATGAGGTGTGCAAAGTAAGTGCCCTCACTCTGTATCGCATGAGATATAATATTCTTATTTTATTTTTATTTCATTTTTACTAACGGTATTTCGTTTTATGTTCTCTGATGGAAGTTAATTCCATCTTCTGGGAGATAACTTATTGTTATTCTCACAATCGTAAAATCAAGTATAACGAAAAATTTACGATAATACTCGACTCACCGTTTCCGGAGTTATGGATGGCCTTGATGGCCTTTTTCAGCTTCGTGAGACCATCCCTATCGAAGTCCAAAGTCTGAAAAAGGAAAATAACAGTGATAATACAGTGTGAAATACGCGAGCTAGTAAAATGATAATTTCTTGAACCACGTCCATGAAATTTTGTGAGTCAGGCTACTAACGCGGTCGGTCTTGTATTTTAATAAGCGTTTACATATATCGTGCGAGCGACATAAATGTAAAATATATTCGATGATCTCTCTTTCGAGAACACACACTCTAAAACATCTAAGATTTTGTTATTTTAATTTATGGAATATTCTTTAAAAATATTGTATCGGAACGAAGACATTCTGTCATCATTTTTTTTTATTTATTTAGTACACAAAAATTGTATCTTTCATTGATACGCTTTTAAAAAAAAATTAACAAAATTTTATATAATACTTAATCTAAAAGAATTTTTAATTCAGTAATAACAATACAATAAAATTAACTCGCATTTAATTCGCAATAAAATTTCATTTATGAGATTTCACATTAAAATATAAATACACACACATACACACACACATACATATATATATTTCTATTATAATTTTATTACTGAAGATATTAGATCATAAAATTTCCATATATATATATATATTTTTTTTTTCAATGTTAATGAAATTTTATGATGTAATATCTTTCTCATAAAATTTCTATCATGTCAGTAATACCAAACCTTATTCAAACGTGAGTTTTGCAGAACTTTAGAGAAAACGAGTCTATAGATATCAATTTAGACATTCAAATTTCACGCGATGTACGCACGTTTTGCGGGGGTCATAAATCCGGACGTGTCTTTCATCCAAATTCGTCACGGATTCGTGAATCCGGACGTCCGGTTAACTTTAAGTCCCCCCCCCCTTCCTTTCGCCTCCACATGCTTTGAACCGCTCTATCAACTTCGCTAATAGAGGAAAGAATAAAGATAAGAGTAAAAGATTATCACTCGTAGATTATCAGCCGTAATTTTAGCGCGCTCAGCGCTAAAATGCGTTCCTAAAGCGACGCGTTTGTTCCGGAAGTGCCGGTGCTCGTTTATTTACTTCATGCGACGGCGAGAAGGTGCTGGCGATATTTATTTAGCCTTTTATCTCGGCTGTGCAACGTGAATCACACCTATCTCGCATTCACGTGTGGTGCATCACCCGTGTGGCGTCTTTGTGGGTCAAATCAACGCGCTCACGGTCGTGTCGCGACTTTATTTCAGTGCGGATAGAAAAAAATAAGAGCAAGGTGAGAGACACGCAAGGAGGTACAGATGTTAAAAATAAGAGACTCGACAGAGCGACCAAATAATCCCTTCCACGCACACATCACATATACATACACGCGATCTATTTTTTTCAATATAGCATAAGTTGGCGCATTGCATCCTTTGCAAGAGATGTAAAATAAACATATAAAACTATTTAATAAAAATCATCAAAATATGAAATAAAAGATGACGAGTCGATTAACCGAATGCGAAATTCTCCACCGGAGAGAGAACGTAATGTAATTTTAAAAGAAAGAAAGCATCGGACGTATAATTTATTAACCGATCGTGTACTCGCTAGCGCGCGATTCGCTTCGCGCGCGGACGAAAAGCAAATAACGAAGACGCGAGGACGATATGGAATCTATATGTATATAGGAGGAGAACGAGACGAAGGGAGAAAGAAGCGAAGGAAAAGGATCGGGTCCCGCGCGATGATCGAGGGCGTCTGGACACGCCGGGAATTCGCGCGGCGTTGTACGAGCAATAAAAACGACGGGGATGCTGCGCCACTCCCGTACTGAAATAGCGTCGACCGACGACGACAAATACCGATAAGAGTTTAATATAAGTGGGCGAGCGTAAGGAACGCGCGGGGTGATTAACGCACGACGCGACGCAACGCGACGCAATGCGACGAACAAATTTAATGCGCAGCGTATTAATGAACCAGAGCGCGGCGGTTCGCGAGACGCATGGAATTATTGACGCATTCATTTGCCGACGCGATTATATTCGAATGTCCATTACCCCGCGGACGTGAATTCCTGCGAAATGCGCGTTATACATGAGCTCCTCCACTCTTAATCGCATTTCGAATCTGGAATTATTAAAATAATTCGAGAAATATATATATTGTATATTAGTTTGAAAGAGTTACGAGAGTTTAGTTAAAAAATCTGTTGGAATGTTACTGTGAATATTACGACGAGAATTAGATAATCTACGACGTTGTTCTTTACGGAAAACTGAAATAATTGATTAACTAACTTCGCAAAGACCCTCGCAAAGAGACACGCGATTAGTTTCTTTAATTGAAATTGTTTGAGAAATCGGATCTCTTCGCGTCGCGCAATATTTAATAACTCTACATTAACGACCGTCCTTTCTCGTTAATAATTTTTCATATTTGACTAAACTTTCATCCGCGGAGCGCGAACGCGGCCGCGTCCAACGCAATTATTTTCGTCCGCACAGCGGCGCGATCGAAAAAAAATCCGAGCGAAGGAGAAATAGAATACGTTGCCGGTCGGCCTTGCCGGATTTCTCCCCCTCGCGGCGGCATTCGGGCCGGGGCAGCCGACGATGCGTTTCGCCGTCCTTGAGGCCTCTCAGAGAAGGCCGCGCGCACGAGCCCGCAGAGCAAAACGACTCTCGCCGAGATCGGGATTCTCGCCTCCACCACGCCCGCGCGACCTCTCTTCTTTTCTCTTTCCCTTCCCCCCCCCCCTCCTCGTCTCTACCTGGCCCCCGGAACCGGACGAGAGAACCGGGAAGATAATTGTCTGTGCCTTTGGGATATGGGCCTTACGTTGCTCGCACGCGAGTATATTGTCAAAGAATGCTTGTGAATTTAACAAGAGAGGTTCCCATACCGAGACATTTGCCCCCGAAAAAATTTTTATATAATAGGAAAAATTATAGGCTTATAAGATAGAAATTTTTTTTACCAAAGAAGATAAAGAAAATTGTTTCTCACAATAATAACGTGATGAAACGTATATTCAAATAATAAATTTTTGTTGCAAAAGTACTGTAAAGGTAAATGGTGAATAAAAGATTTGATTAATCGAGGAAGCATTTCAGAATGTGATTCATTTAGTATCTAGAAGGATGAGACTTGATATCTCTTTCTATTAGTCGTTTGAATAGAATTTCTACTTGTAAGAAGTTCACGAGCATAATAAATGATTCACAGGCAATATCGAACTGTTTCATCAGAATTTCTTAATCATCGTGGGAATTTATGCAAGAGTAGCTGTAGTAAAATTTTGAAGACTCTCGAAAGAATAGCGTCACAATATTATAATTATAATAACAAATTACACATTTTGTAAAAATTAAAATAAAACTGCTGTTGCACGATGGTAACATTATTTTAAAATACGTTACCATTACATGCAACAGCATATAAATAAAATAGCCGAATGTAAAGTTACAAGAAAATATTTTATTTTCTAAAACTATTTATATAAAAATATTGTCTTGAAATTGATTCGGCTTCGTGTTCAGCTGAGTGCTTTCTCATGTGAATCAAAGACAGGCACGTGTCTCTCGCCGGCCAGTAATTAGCCACGATGGCACCCGCGTGCCTGCGTAACCTCGCTCGTCCGGCTGTAATTGCCTCTCTCGCTAATTAATGCGCGCTATGAGCACGGACATACGCGCAAAGGTTACGCCGCTGGCAGAGAAGCCGGCAGCATATGGTCAGCATACTGGATGTCTCGGGAATCGATCGCCTGCGTGACAGAGCTTTCGTTGTGACGATCGTGGCAAGAAAGTATTTCGACGTGACAATCTTTTTCAATTGTATTCTTTTCATTAAAAATGTTAGTATATTACGGTATTACATGATAAATATTATATATATAATTTTTTCATGAATTAAGCTTTAAAATTAAATGTTTCTTGTGGAGAATTTCTTCTTTTCTATATCAGAATACATTTAAATTTCGTTTTCTGAAATGTGCGATTAATTCTTCAATTATTGGAAAAAGTAAAATTATTGTTATGAAACTGATTTAATATTGTATCGCATAAGAGAATCTATTTGACACATCTTAAGCATACGAGCGATAAAATAATAAAAAATTTTGTAACGAAATATGAATGATATTTTGTATGCCATGGCTATAGTAAAATAATGTTTACGGATATCTCAAGAGTATAATACACGTTTCTTAAATAAGAGTAATATTCTTCGGTCGCAACCAATATCCGATTTGTCTTATAGGGAAAGTATTGGATTCCGCTTTGTGTATAACCTATCGTCAAATTGAGTTAGCAACTGTGAGCAAAACCGACTTAAACAACATTCATCGCTCATGTGTGTATAACCGTCGGAGAGATTATAAAGGAGCAACTTCGAAACTATCCTTCATTGCAACACAATATAAAACGTATTGTGCAGTCGAGGACGATATTGCAAGTTTCGCAAAGTTCCGACCGGGGGGAAACTTTCCCGCGGAGTTACACCCATAATTCTCGCGTGTATGCTTCTATCTGCTCATACCGCAGATATGTGTGCCGCAGAGCATTGCAAGGCGTGTGCCGTGCAACGCGTCGTGGAAAGGCGGTTTTTTTTTTCTCCGCGGGATCACTTGAGAACATACCCTGATGCCGGGGTTACGCACGAGGCGGCTTATGTTGTACATTAGGCGATAAATCGCGCGCGATCCCCCGCTTTATGTGCGAGCCTTACAAAGCGCAATTAATGATCCGGGCTCTCGTTCCCATAGTGTCGCGTGCTCCGCGTTCTACATATACATATATACGTACGTACGTGCAACGCGTGTTCCTCTTATAGTAGGTGCTAAACGGTTTTCCCGCTGCTTCACGAGAAAAGTTTCCTCGTCGTGCGGACGCAATGCGGAAATATCACGCGTAATGAAACTCGCTATTTTACTTCCTATCCGAGCCTGGAATTTCATTCGAACGGGAAACACGTTTCATTGACGCAGTGTACAATTGAAAATTTTATACACGACTTGATTCATCGGCGCCGAGATGCGTACCTATTCAAAATTTAACATCACGTAATAAGATAGCGG